GACCGAGTCTCCTCTACCCCATGGGCGGACATACGCCTCAGAGGCGAGACACAGTCCCCCCTCCCAGAGAAGGCCCGCGCGGAGATGGCCCCTAAGAGACCTTCTCTTGGCCAACACAAGCCCTCCCCAGCACCCGGAGACAGCCCCCAATCCAGGGAAGAAACGGCTCCGGGGGCCCTACCCTCAGGAGAGGGATCCCAGAGCCCCTAGAAGACAACTCAGAGACCCCAGCCTCATCCCAAAGTGCTTCAGGGAAGACACCCCCGTAGGAGAGATGGGGGAGGGCCAGAAATATCCCTTCCCGGACAGCTTTAGAGATAGCCCCTTCCCTGGGAAGAGAGATGGCCCAAGACTGACTTGTCTTAGGTACTCCCAGGAACCCTGGGAGGAAAACAGGCTCCCCAAAGAGCCTGGGTAGGGAGGGGAGACATGCTCCCATGGTTCCCTAGCGGGAATACATGCTCCCCAGAGATTCCCAAGAGGAGACAGGGGCTAGAGAGCCCCAGAGGTCACGGATACCCAGAGACATCTCCAGGTGAGGAGATGCTTCTGGGACCGTAGGAGAAAAATATGTCCCCATACACCCTCTACCTATGGAGAGACATGCTCTAAAGTAGGGGGATGAGGACCAACAAGGGCCCCTCTAGGAAGACACTGACTGGGTCAGGCTGGGTTTGGGGGGGGTCTCCTCTGGCCAAATGTCGCTTATTGGTACATAAAACTGTACGCGACACAAGGCATTGGGAAGGGGCTTCACAGACCTAGGACCAACAGGGGTAGTCCCCAGTGCTGTCACCAGTCCCCTGCCCACCTTTGGTTTCACCTCATGAGTGCCCAGGTGGTGACAGACTCAGCACCCTGACCCCAACCAGGGTGTCAGGGGGGGCTCTGCCTTCGTCTGTGGGAAGGACTTCTGCTCTGTGCTTCTCAGCCCTCCCAGCCACCTGGGCTACCCCCTTCCCTCTGGCTTCTCCATTGTGCAAAATGCTCCTCTGCCCTTCCACTCGGTGCACAGGAGTCTCCAAGGCCAGGGCAGGGTACCCAGGCCATCAGAGGCTTCCTGCAGGGGTCCATCAACCCCAGGGATGCCTCTCATCCGGACCACCCTCTTCACCAAGCAAACGGGCCACATACAATCTTTTTACCCCAATCCTGACCTCCAGGACCCAGGACAGCTCTTGAGGCCCCACCCTCTGGGCACCTTATGCTACCAACTCTACCACTATTGCACCTGCCCTGTTTGTGCGGGGCCGGGGGTGGGGGGCTGTCTTTTTAACAGGCCCCCAGCCCACTTCCTGGGCCTCCCCGAGGGAAAGGAGCCTTTGGCCAACCCTCTGACCTGGCTGCTGCCACCCAACCCACTCTGCCTACTGCCCCCCATGGAAGGGCTGTGGGTGCTGGGGCCACCAACCTAACGATGCTCTCCTTCCCAGCACTGTTACCCCAAACCAAATCAGGGGTAAGGGAGCAGAGAATAGAGTGATTCGACAGCACTCCTCTGGCTTTTCTGGGGTGGGGATGGGGTCTCTGGGTTACAGGAGTCAAGACCCCAGCGGCACAGCTCCCAAAGGCACCAGACAACCCAGCAGCCTGTACCCGCCCCTCCCACACTTGGGCCACTCCCCCCCCCAAGCTTAGACTAAGTCAAGCAAGGGCCATAACCTGAGTCTCCAGCCTCCTAGCCTGGGCCCCTGGGGAGCTGGAGAGGTATGGGCCAAGGCATTGGGGATTTCTGGAAGGAAGAGAGGCTGAGGCTAGGCTTTGAGATGGCCACAGTGGGAGATGGGGCTCAGCAGGATGCCCCTCACACCCTGGCCCCGAGGTGAACAAAAGAACTTCACCTCATCATGGCTGACTGGGCTTCTCTGCCCCCCAATCTCCCTCCCCCTCCCCCATCATCGGACCCCTGACCCTGGCAAAGGGAAGCCCAACTGGAAGAAGGGGGCCTGGAGCCCGGGGTGCCCTGAGGCAGCCCTTCCCACCCCCTGAGATCAAGGCAATGGTGGTTTTACAGGCTGACGGGTCAGTCATGGCAGGGGTTGGGGGCTGGAGGGCAGGGAGGGGGAAGGGTGCCATCTCCCACTGGGAGGCAGCAACCAGCCACCCCCTGAGCAAACCTTCCTGCTCCCAACT